CACTGTTTACCAACACACCTATATTATCTAAATAATGAACATCTTCACTGTTTAACAACACACCTGAATTATCTAAATAATGAACATCTTCACCATTTACTAACCTGTATTATTGAAATAATGAACATCCTTATTATTTAGTAAACTTGTATCTTTGGCTAATATTTATATTTATAATGGGTTATCTTATATGTTTTGAAGTATCTGAAAGTTTTGTGTACTTACATGTTGTTGTTGTTTTCAGAAACCAGCAAACATTCTAGTAATGGGTGAAGGTCCTGAAAGAGGAAGAGTGAAAATTGGTATATTAATAGTTTTATAAGTTAGACTGATACATATTATTAGACTATAGAGGACTGTGTTTGTGAAAGAACTATGTATTATCTACTGTTGGACATACAAGGTTTTTTAGTGTAGGCATTATTATTTAATTTATTTTGTGAGTTAGTATTTAATGATTGTTTAGTTTTTCATAACAAGAAATTCATACATTGTGTTTGCAATTGCATTGTTGTCTAGGCTTTACTAATATTGTTGACGTCACATTACTCGATTCTTCAGTATTTTTCTCGTTACCTTAACTAAGTATTGTTAAATCAGTGCCTTTTGTGCACCTTATAGAAATTTCCGGGCCTCAGTGATCAACTGAGTTAAAACTGCTTTAACTAAAGTTAAAATCATAAATAATATTCAATGTTAAAATTGGTACACAATTAAAAACTTTTTATTTAGGCCTATCTATGGCCTTCAAAAAATTGGCGACTCTACATGTTTTGACTCCTGAAGATGACGTTGTTAAATCAGTGCCTTTCGCGCACCTTACAGAAATTTCCGGGCCTTAATGATAAACGTATATATATATGTATATATAGAGAGAGAGAGTCCAAATGAGCACAATTGAAGTGAAAGAAAAGTTCAATCAGAGAAAAGTTAGAAAACATGAAGTTAGCTGGTGTGTGAGTGATTTGCCATAGTGGGTGGTATTTTAAAGTGAGTTTCAGAGTTTAAATATAGATAAGGAGAATAATTTGTCTTATCAAAGGGTGTTCTAAAGTAATTGCCCTCAATA